CACACACACACACACACACGTACATTGTCTTTAAATGACACAGGTAAGAAAACAGTACAAAAGAAAGAAATAAACAGAGTGTATGATTGGAGGAGAGAGTACCTGCTCCTCTTTGGTGTAGAGCTGAAAACACTCATCCAGTGTGCAGCTGTGCTGCTGTACATGATTCTGCTGCTGGATCTTCACACTCTCTGCATCCTCAATAACTTCCTCTTGAATGTTACCAAAGAGACTGAAACAGATATGAATCACACAGGACTTATGACTTTCAAATGAGAAGATTCTTACTAATTCTGGGAATTTGACATGTTCGGTGGTTTTAAATTAAATGAATGTGTCTGCCTTTAAATAAGATCATTTTATGAAGCAGCATGTATCTTACCATTCTTTGATCCTGGTCTCCCATTCAATCACAAGCTTCACATGCAGAGGACCACCAGGACCGCATAATTTCAGGGCTCTGTGAGAGAATGAAATGATTTAAATTGTGAGTTAGGTATTCAGACGCTAGGGGGCAGACTATAATCAGTGTTGTGAAGTTCATTGTCAATTCAGTCTAAATCAGTACATAATTTGGCACACTGACACTGCCATTCTGTGCCATTGCCATTGTTTTTTAAAGATTTTTTAAAACTGGATTTACACTACCTTTCAAAAGTTTGGGGTCAGTAAGATTATACGTAATACTTTTATTCAGCAAGGAAACATTCAATATATCAAATGTGACAGTAAAGACATTTATAATGTTACAAAACATTTTTATTTCAAATAAGTGCCATTCTTTTGAAGTGTCTATTAATTCAGAATCCTGAAAAAATTCGTTCACAGCCTCGGCCCTCACTGTTCACCCTGTGCAATTCTGCAAAACATGTTTTTTCTGAGAGCTGGGCTAAAGCCAGATTAATTCTGACACGCAGTCCGTCTGCGTTAATTGCGATTGTTTCTGAGAGGATTTAAAAGCAGGGAACAATAATTCAGAGACGTGAGGGGAATTCACTTAAATTCATCAACTCTGGTCTATTGAAAAGAAAGCTCTGACACATACGCAGGGGTTTTCTTATCTTACGCCGAACAACTTATCTTGTCTTACACTGAACAATTTACCTTATCTCAACCAGAAATTTGGGGAGCTAAACACACACACACACACACACACACACACACACACACACACACACACACACACACACACAACTTTGTTTCTGGTGTTACACTAAAACTTTGCATGCTTTTTCTCCATTCTCTGAACTTGGGTTCGTATGAACAATCTATGTGATGATAAATGTTTGTGGCAACCATATGCTTCCTGTCATTACTTGGAAAATGTGGTCTTCTTAACTCAATCTTGCTTGTGAAACCTCTAGATGCATCTTCAGCAATGGCTGACAATCTTAATTACTTGCATAGTTAAACTGCTGGCTTTCAGCACACAAGAGCAGCAGCTTGTGTCAGAGAACAGCAGGTAACCACATGAGAAATGGAATGTCTGCTATCATCTGAACATCATAATTACAAATAAACAACCTATTTATACAGTGACAGGCATGGATGAGAGTGCAAAAAAGGACGTGCTGGTAAGAAAAGATGATCAGATACCTCTGCAACATACACATTTCTCAAATCTGCACCAAACAAAAAGTACAGTGCTAGTAGCCTGGTATAGTGATGCTATCAGATGGCAATACCATGGTAATTTTATTTCACAAATTTGTGTGCCCATATAATCTTAGCGTAAGTGGTAAACAGATTTGGCTTGTTGTCTGCTATAGAGGGGCTCAGAGAGAATATTCTACTCGAGCTCCGATTGCCCCCCTATAACAGGCAAAATTGTACAAAAAAGGAGGAGGAGGAGGGAGGCCGAAAGAACTAACAATGGGAAGAGGTAAGATGCTGGTTTTATACCTTGGCATTAACTGGAAGATTAGATTGGCATACTCCTCCCGAAATTATTTTTAATAACTTCACATATACCATGGCACTTGATATTTACAAGGTAAATCGAAATCGCGTTTGGTCTTGTACTGGTCTTGTACGAGTACCTTGTCAGTGTCGTGCGCTTTGCTTGGCCATTTGTTGTGATAAACAGGAAGGGGTGTTCAGCTGAATTCAATTTGAGTTTTGTTAGACGAATATAAAAAGCTTACTATACCGCGGCAGCCCTCGTGTGAAGCTCTCCTCGTGTGAAGCCCGAAGAGTGTAAAGACCATCAACTCTACTGTTCGACTCCACTGAGCAGGGACACCGGCAAGGGACATAAGTATCGCTTTTGAATCATTCTCTTTCCTACTACTTGTTTCCCTTCTGTTTTCAGTTTTTATAACCAATTCTTACTATGTGTTTCCAGATCCCTACTATCACTACCACTCACAAACCATGCATCACACACTGTAGGCAGTACAATCCTAACAACCTGCGCACTTTGCCTATGTCTACTAGTACACTACTTTCTTTTTCTATTGGTCTCTGGAATTGCCATTCTGCTGTAAACAAAGCAGAATCCATTTTATAGTTGTTTATCAACCCCCAGGACCACTAGGTAACGTCGTGGAAGAATTAGATGTGCTGCTCTTAAACTTTCATGAGGGTGGTACTCCCCTAGTTATGCTTGGAGACTTCAACATCCACCTAGATAAACCTCAGGCTGCAGACTTCCACACTCTGCTTGCTTCTTTTGATCTCAAGCAAGTATTAACTACGGCTACTCACAAATCAGGCAACCAACTGGACCTTATTTACACACAACACTGCTCCACTGATCATGTACTGGTTACTCCACTGCACACCTCGGATCACTTCCTC